AAATAAAGGGGAAAAGTTTGTAAATATAAATTTATTTTACGTCGATTGCAGGGAGTGATCCTTTTATCAGTCTTCCTTCAAACCCATAGGCCTATGTTCAAAGTGGCACGGGTGGCGTGAGTGGTTTATCACCCGCCCCTCACCCCTCTAGTCCGGGTTCGAGCCCCGACTCAGACTGGATCATATCTGAGTTGAGGTCGTTTGATGTGTTGAATGTAGTGCTAGTGCGTGTGAAGCAAACCTCACAGAAGAGCCCGATACGATAAGTGGTGATTGTAAAATATAAGTTTATAAATTTCGACGCAAGATGGATTGTGGATTTAGTAATTATATTTTACGGAGGGAGGACACACCGTCTCTTTCTTTTTAAACAAACATTGCCGGCTCMTGTTATTCGATGATATTCGCTTTTCTTTTAAGTTTGAAGTTTGGGATCCCACACGGTGCAATTGTGCCACTTGACCCCATGATGTGAAGCATTATTTGAGAAATAATAACACGAATCAAACAATAATGGGTATTTCATACGCGCAGTATTACAGCAGGATAGGTTTTCGCTACACCCAGTGGGCGCTTGATTTAGGTACACAGACGGAAGTAGTTAAATATTAATGTCAATTCGGCTCCTCGACGTTATTTCTTCTTTTTTCTTTTTATCTATCAAAATGTTGCTTTAATTTATTAAATTTTTTTAAGAAAAAAATATCACAACTCAAAAATCACATAATCGTCGGTCTTATTGAATTTAAAAAAATTCCTAATCTTTAACAACGGTTTACAATAGTCATTTGAAATGAGAGTATTAAAATAAAGGAGTATTTTACACTCTCTCCTTGGCTCTCTCAGTTCTGAAATTTTGGAAAATCTGAGACGCATTTTCTTAAATCGCTTGGTGAACACAAATAGATTGTCCAAAATTTTAGTTCGATCGATACGATGTMATCGAAATGTGTTAGAAGTTTTAAAAGCTGTTTTTGTCATTGAAAAATGTATATCCCTCTAAAACCAAAATACTAAAYTTTTTTTGCGTCCCTAAAACAGACAATTCTAGCTAAATGAAGTTTTGAAATATAAAGTTTTTTTCGGCATTCACAAAATGTATACACCTATAAAACATAATTTTTTTTTTTTTTTTTAATGTTTGTCGGAAATGGTATTCTTAAGTTAGCGATCTGAGGCAACAGAATGTTTGTGGTTTAACTTATGTTTTCTTGCTAAACTTACGGGGGGAAACTCAAAAGGTCATACCTCGACTGTGAGTATAGGGATTTGAAGCGTGTTACTCGGTCTCAGATTCCGACAGATCTCCAGCCGACAACGTTTAATTTTGAAATATAGGTGTACTTTTGAAAGCGAAAATCGGCCTGTGCGTAAAGTGTCCCCAACGTTATCCTGATACCAATAGACGCGACATAACCAATGATTACAATATCATAAACCAATGAAACTTACCAATCCCAAGGAAACACTGTAATAATCAAATATTGTGCTCGCGTTCAAATGCTGAATGGAATTACACTTGTCAGCAGACAACAGCTGGCATTCTTTCAATCCTCCAGAGAATCTAGCCAGGTTAAATGACAAACATTCATCCAACTCGACGCATTTAAACGCGCAGTCAAGGGAATTCCGGACGTTGTGAATACGGAGCGGGATAATTGACAAATTGTGTAGATGATCTACAACGAATTTTGCTTYTTTGAGAAATCGCCGCCTTGTAAGAATCTGGATTGTCGGCTCGAACCAGTAAAATAAGAAAACTAGGATAAAAGTGAGGGAGGGCCTCATTGTGGCAAAACATATGGCCTAC